CAAGGCCAGGCTGGGAGGGGCCCTGGGCAACCTGGTCTAGTGGGTTACAACCGCATGGCAGGGGGTTGTAACTGGATGGGCTGTAAGGTCCCTCCCAGCCCAAGACATTCTATGATTTTATGATCCCAGATCCTCTGACCCCATGCACTGGCCTTTAAGGAGAGGAGGAAAACAGATTAAAGATGCAATACATGCTTGCTGGGGAGCAAGGAAGGGAGAATTAGCAAGAAAATGTTTTGTGTGAGTTTCTGCCCTGCTTTAGGAGCCTTTGTAGCCCTGTGCAGTGAAATCTGTCTCCTGCTTTCCCCACCTGGAACATCACCCTCAGGACTGTGCCAGTGTAAGAACAGGTAGAGCACAAGTAATTAGTTAAAACATCCCCAACTGCTCTGCTTGAGGGGGCTCAGAAAGTGCCCCCAGGTGGGTCTTCCTAAGAGAAAAGCCTTCAGTGTGACACAACACACATTTTGTACAACTGTACAGATAAACTTGAAGCAGGAATGCAGTCTCTATTGTTATATATGCATCAATTTGCACTTCTAAAAACAAGCAGCCTGTCAGCAGCCCATGCTTAAATCCTAGCAGCTCTCTCCATTTACACACAGAGAAGCACCCAAGCCTGTACTTCCTAACTCCAGCAATGCCACCCAAATCTCTGGATCCTCCGTGTGAGGAATATGCGCTGCCCACTTCATGAGGACAACGGATCCTTGCAGACACCCAAATATAATGTACTCTATATCAGTGTAACACACAACAAGGTACCCTGTGCTCCCCGTGGGGTCCTGACCGCCCCGTTAGCCCTGCGAGGGGTCTGCTCTCAGCAGGCAGAGCCCTCCTGGGCCCGGCAGGAGCTGGACAGGGCCCAAGCGCGAGGCGCATCGTCTCCAAGATACAGTGGCTTGGGGCAGCTTGTCCCAGACAAAGAGCATTATGAGGGAACCACTGCTGGAAATTTCCATCCCTTTGTTGGGTGGATGCTGTGTAAATAAATGCATTCCTAAGATTTTTCATAATCCCGGAAAGGCCCCTAAAAGAAGCTCTACAGCCTGTCAAATCGCTAACGTTCATAAATATTATTCCTCCGCCGCTGAGCACATGATGTACAATGGCACAGAACTGAATGCAAGAAACGTATGCCAAAAGCTTTCTGAGGAGAAGTCTGCGTGTTTGGATACTGCGTGTACAGATATTTCTTCTGTTTTGTCCCTATTACAGCTCGGATTTGTGAATTGCTCGCCTTGGTTCTAAACACTCCTTACCTGACAGGCAATGTTGGCAGCAGCATTTAGCTCCCTGTGCCTGGTGCGATGTGCAGGTGCTTTGAAAACACTTATAAATTAGTACGCTGATGTAAACGTGTAAGCAACCTCTTAACTCGATTCTCCTGTTTTCCCTTCTGTCTGAATCTTACTGTAAAAACAAACGATTCAGGAAGATCCTCTTACAGCAACAGTGCCTCACTCACTCATCATGTACAAACTGATAGAGAAGGTATTCTGTTCACCCGATGTGCTGGTAGCATAAACACAGGAGTTACTTGCACAGCAGAGAGCAGCAGCGGCAGTCAGCAAAGTGAGATCTTCCCAAAATAAGCCAGCAGCTTCTCCCATTAACTCTGCCCTCTCACACTCAGTTAATCTGGATTTCTAAGCTGACTTCTGTGCTTAATGCAGCTCAAATTCTATAAAAATTTAGAACAGAATCTGACTTTCACTTTGCCAACACAACATTTATTGCCTCTCTCCTTCATTTCTGAGCACACTCTGATTTATCTAATGCCTAGGTTTTCCCAACAGCTACACCCGCTTTCTTTAGGATGAAGTTATCAATTTTGGAAATCACATCCCCTACTAAAACAGATCTGCTGGAAAAATACTGAAACAATACAGAAATAATACCTTTTTTTTTTCTTCCAGTACTTTTTATTTCTAGATCTCAAATTCCTAGACAATAGAGAACATTTAATATGTAAATTGATAAAACATGAAATGTACGTTTTTAGCGTTTGCCTTTTATTTGCCCAGAATGCACTGTTACTATTTATTTCCTCCATATGCTATTTTTCAAGTTGAAAATATATTAAAAAAAATACAGTGAAACCAGCCTAGAAGCCAAACCAAAACAACACCCCAAACAGCACGGTCTCTGTAAAGTAAACCTGTTTTTGGCCAGCGAAGTCTTTAACACTCATCTGTTTGGACGCTGTCGCAGCATCTCCAGCTCTGCAGTGCTCATCTGATAGGCAAATTTTTAGGATCCTCAATACTCAAATACAACTCGGGGGCTGCTCTGCCTAAGCTTGTCAGTTTCCAGGACGAAGGAGCCTGCCTCAGCCTTTTCTCAAAGAAAGATGATTATGGTAATTGTCTCTCTCAAACTGGAACCGACTGTAAAAGCTGATCACTGTATTTTAATATAAAATACTGTTGACCAAGGGCAGCAAACTTTAAAACCAATGAATAATAAACTGCGATCCCAGAGACCAAAGACCAGTAACTTATCTGCTGCGCAAACAACCACACAAATCCCTCACATTTATTTTTTCCAGGCTTTCAACTTTGATTAATAACATGGCAAAAGCACACAAGTCTCAACCATATTAACCACAGCTATATTTTCAGCCCTACTGACACGAACGCTTTAATAAAATAAAAGGAGAAGGAAAACAGAAGAGGTGTTTCATTAGGACATGAGGATTACTAAAACCACTGTGTGGAGCATTTGTCAGGAGGTGGCACGGGAAGAGTTATTACTTACATTTTAGCGTGTCTCTAGGACGCAGAGCCAGAGGCTCCCTCGGTGAGATATGTTTGCTTTGGAAAAATATGAAGTAATCAGGCTGCCTGAGCTCTTCTAGCTGACACGTTTTTAATACCAAAATGCAAACCCAGCTAAGAAGTTTGCAGGAAGCACTACAGAGAAAACTGTTTTTCCAGTTTGGTTAGGAAGCCCAGCAACACTGAAGTGGTGTGAGGATCAGAAGTTCTCAGATTAACCTGCCAGTTCTTTTTACAGACAGATACAAAGCATACATATATGAAGCATGGTTAAAATAATACACCAAGATGCAACCCCCCCCCCCCCCCAAATCTGTACTTGTGTCTGCTTACAGAAGCTTACAACCTAAATGAAAAGCATTTATTAAAACACACCAAAAAATGGCTGATGTGATCAGGAAACCAATGTCGTGCCAATAAAATTGCAGCTACGAAACAAATCCAAAGAATAATGCTTGCTAATGCAGAGTGCTTGCAGTTTAACATCTGTAGCTTCATTGTTGTGTGAGACTGGGACTGTAGTTACATCTCTCCCAGTCTCCTCACTGGCTGTACAAACGACAGGGGTATTCCATAGATGAGTTTCTAAATTCGGTGAATTAAAAGCATTTTACAAGCAGTAAAAAATAAACAATATCGGGCTGAACTTGTCATTTGACTTTTTCATTCTGCATCTACCTGCCCACACTCTTGCTCTAGCAGCTCATTTATAATGATGCCTTTGCCAACAGACCCAAGCTTTTAAAATCAAGATAACGTGCAATGCTGGTCACAGATTTTCTATTTCTAAACCACTAACAGGAAGACAGTCACCCTCCAAAATAGGGGAAGTAGAACAAAGAGATCCAGGCATGTAATACAGTAACAGTGGCCCTGAAATAACTGCTCAGGATGGCACCCAAATATGATAGTAAAGGACGCATTAGAAACACCTCGGCACCGCAGACGGGATGCGGCAGCTTCGCAAAGAGAAGGGCAGACCAATAACAAATACCTTGTCACACTTTCATCCTGAGATGAAAGCATCGTTTCTGCTTTGACCTTTTTTAGAATCTGTAACACACAACACCTGGGGCAGCCGAGATACAAGGGAACAGGGAAGGGGCACGCTGCAGCTTATTCCTACCCACCAGCAAGCGACAAAACACACAGAAAATCTCTAAGCTGCACCAGAGAAAGCGAGAATCTATGCACCGCCCTACATGTGAGCTTCATTAACAAAGATATTTTTTCCCACTCGAATTGCACACATGCAAGTGTAAACCATTTCTGCACGCCCCCACTACCCGCTCTGACATCGGGATTTTGGCTGTCCCGGGCTTGGCTGTCACTAAGACAAACATATTTCACCACAACTTTTTTCATTCAAAAAGAGGCAAACTGGATTATAGCAAATAACCTTTAAGATAATTAACTGACAATGCTGCAACTAGCATAAAATCTTCCTTCAGGCGACCCCTAATTTAAGTATTACTGGCACAAAGTGGAGACAGATTGCGCATCACCACCGCAATATTTACATAGCAGAAACCCACAGAGCAGGAAACGTGAGACTCAATGATGCACTAAATTAGGAACAATCATATTCTAGTGTTAATTTGCTTTCCACTCTATCCAAATTTCAGGTCCAGCAATCGGTGTAAATGCACATAAAACATTCCCATTTTTAATGATTAAGAACCACAATCCGCAAGCAGCTCTGCTCAGAAGTAAATCTGCTCACTGCTAGGGACGTTTGCAGGATCAACCCCCCCCCCCAAAAGCGAGGCAGTTTTAGCAGCACAGAGATTTTCTGGAAACTGAATCTTCCTGAGCTGTTTACCCCTTTCCATCAATTATGCCTGCACAAGCTGTTGGAGTCTTCTGCCCATCTACCTGCCTTTTGCTGGCAAATATTTTCTTTTGGTGGTGCGACTCAGAAGCAGCTTTAATTCACCGATTCTGTAGAGATATATGCGTGTACTCAGAAGGCTCTGTGCTCAAAAAATTAAGGTTAAAACGGGGAGAGAAAAAGACAGCCAGGTTATTTGTAAACACACTGGTGCCACATTTATGATAAATACACACTCTACAGACTCGATGCAGATACAGATTTTAAAAGCGTGACTCTCGTATGCAGCATGCTTTCTAAGACGAACGCAAACAGCCACCACCAACCTCTCTAAATTTTAAACATTGTTTAAATTCACTTTCCACAACATCATATAACAAAATATTTACCTTTCCTAAACGCTGATGTTCTTCAAAAGCAGAAATCAGTTCTTGTGCCCACTTTATTTTTTCAGGGCTGGGAGAGAACTGTTCCTGGACAACAGCAATTTGGTTAGGGTGAATCACCTGCTTACCTACAAAGAAGATTAATAACACCAGAATCATGCATCGACAAACAGATGTTCAAGCAAAATGTTCCAACCACTTGAGGCTCTCCTATGCCTCGCAGACTTTCTGCTCCTGAACTAATTATTTTACTTGTTTTCTTTTATTATTTAACTGGACTACGTGCCAGATTTTTTAACAATAAAAATATCTGGCGCAATACTTGCATTTAGTGTGTTTGAAGGGACCCAGAATTCTTTCTCCTCCCTCCTCATTTCAGTCCATACATCTTCCATGGTTCATCTCAGGTGGAACTGTTGGTCTGGGGAAGTCAGCAGTGCTAGAGCACAATGCAACTCTGAATTTTACCTTTATAAATGGCACTGCCAGTCACTCGTAAATAAATTGCATAAAATGTGTTCAGAAAATGAGGTTTATCGAACTGAAAAGTTTCCGGCCATGCAGGGATCGTTCCCTCAGTTCTTAGCACTGGCTCTGCATCATGCGATGCTCAGGGCTGCTTATGTTTTTGTTGTGGTTCACAGGTGCAGGTAGGCTGGGGTATTTATTTAGCCACCGGTATATTAAACTGCTTCCAGAGGTACCCTGAAGTGTTACGAAGAACTTTTTATTAATCCTTTCTTGTATGAACATACAGTAGGAAAATAAAAATAGGTGTAGCCTTTTTTTTTTTTTTCCTACCAGAGATTTTCCAATGCGAATAGACAGCCACATAATCCGTTCTAATCTGTTATTGTACTTAGCCACATTAAAACAAATACATATCTAATTTGTTTGACAGTTTTCAAAGTGTGGCACTCGACGTTATTAGCCCGTTTCTAAGGGAATTTCACAGGCAACGTGATGGCTGCACGATCCCCTGTGCCGTGCCGTGGGAGCGCTTCAATAAAGCGGGGCTACTGCAGCCTCAAGCCTCGCCGTGACACAAATTAATCCCTCTATGCCACACGGCAGAGCGGGTTGCAGCCACGAGCCCCATCCCCAAGCCTTTCACGCCTCCCAGCCCTACAGCGGGGCACCTCGGGCTGGGCTGAGGGCCTGGGGCCGCTGCCGTGCCCCATGTTGGGCCCACGCCTCCTGCAGCCCTCGTGCGGTGCTCAGGGACCCCTGGGGTCCTCAGGAAGCTCTGGGGTGCAGCTCTGGGGTGACACTGGCACTGTGAGCAGCTGCCCATGGCATGCGGCCCGGCCTGGGGAAGAAACGCGACCCTTCCATTGGGCTCCTGGATGTGAAGCTAGAAATAAGCTCATCGCTACATGCAATAGATCCCGTACCACAGCACACGCGTGCCACTGTTTTAAACAACAGAGTGGAGAAAAGATTCCCATCACCGGGATTCCTTGTGTCAGCCTGCAATGGCTCTCTGATAAATGTGTGCCATGAAAGGATTGTGAGTGCTTTCTTTTGATAGAAAGCAATTGTTACTCTTCAGAGTCGCCGCGTTTCTTTAAAATCCACAAGTCGTTCGATTTTATTTTAGTTCCCATTACACAGTTGCTGGTTTAAGATCTCGAGGGCGGCCAGATACTCTGTCTCAAATTTTAATATGGCATATATTTCACAATAATCTGATTTTTTTTTTTTTAAGAAAGAAATTATAGGGAGACAAATTCCCTGAGCTGATGCTTTACATTCTTTCCAACCAAATGTATTTTAGTCGCTTTAATTAAATGTCACTACTGATAAGCTCATGGTGTTCCTTATTTTTAATATGATGCATTCTAAACTAATTCTAAAGAGGGAGAGTGGACAAGTAGTTCCTGCAAAATGCTGAAAACCTAACTTTCCGGAAGAAATAAAGAACAGATTTTAACTTGTGTTTAAAATCACAACAAAAATAAAAACGCAGGTACGATTTTTTAAGGTGTGAAGCATTTCCGTGAAAAGATTTTCTTCTGATACAAATATCCATAGCAGGAAGCTGTACTTTGCTTCATTAAAACATTATCAAACAATTTACAGAGAAGAAAATCGAGCCTTTGATTTATAGCACTCAGTGGATTTTTGTCACAGAATTATGTATCCAAATAACTGCATAATAGACGTAATGCCATGCAGGAATGAAGCAAATATTTTAAGTGAAATTGTTGTTATTGACAAGTTACCGAGAGAGTGCAAAATTGGAATACATTAAAATTTATGACCATGAAATCCTTTTTACAGTACCTCTTGATATATCGTGCTTTAAATCAATACCTGTCAAGTCTTTTAGGTAGCTGTATGATGGTGTCGTTTTAGCCTTCTACAAAAGACTACAAAAAGAGAGGAAACCTATAGTGTTTCGTATTTGTATCTGGCTTCTCAGCATGGAGCACAGGACTTTCTATAATGACTAAGTCGGCTGTTAAAGCTTGTCGTAGGTCTTCCTTAATTTTTTACATAAACTTTTCTAAAACTGATGACCATTTACTTGGGCTGCACGCTGGCTTTAAGTCCGCAGACTCCGGCATTGTAAAACATCCTGTTGTATGTGCATGTGTGTGTGTATATTAATAAATACACAAAAGATATATTACACTGGCTAAACTGCAATTGAAAGCAATCAATTTTATGGAAACACAGTAGCCGACGAAAAACCAGGCTGTTTGAAAGCTAGCTGGAAAAAAACTTGGCACTGAGGGTCACAGCAGTAACCAAATAGACAGTAAATTCTTCACTATATTATTTAACTTGTAAATTGTCAGTGAACACGTGTGATTACTTTAGGGATAATTCTGTTCTACTGGTTTCTGAATACAAGAAAATGTAAGGACGTGTAACTTTGCTGAATACATGGAGTTTATGATTATGTTTGAGAGAGGTGAATGTGGCCCTACACGTTTTGCCAGTTACCAGGTAATTGGTGAGCTTTCCCTCATTTTGGTCCTGTTGATTCCAGTGATTTAGATTACATGTGAAAAAGTAGAAAGATGTGATCGCAAGTAGATAGAAATAACAAGAACGATGTGTTTAGAACTTGTTATTAAGGCAGTGCTTCAGGATTTTATTATCGCATTATCTGACAACTGCCAGTGACAAATGTGATGTATTTTATAGAAGGTCATGGATTAAGCTAGGGCCCATTTGTAAATTTCTGTGATGAAAATTAAATTGCAAATATTAAAATGTTTTTATTTTTATAATTTTTGAACCAGATGTTTTTCCTTTTAGTTTGGAAGTGACATTTTAATTTAGCTAAACTAAGCAAAAAACAAAGATTAAGTGAACTGCAAACAAAAGAAAGAGAAAAGACAAGGGAAATATTTTTGATAGCCCTCAAATATTTTTTCTTTACCAAAAATATGAAAAAATCTGTTTTGTTTTGAATGAGTTTTTTTTCTTTAAGAATTTTGGCCACAAAATCGGAATACTGACCCATCTCTGTTTATGATGGGAGTGTTTGTCAGGCTGCTTGCTGCCCTTCTGAGATATGGTGATCAGAACTGCAGAGAGGCAGAAGGCTCTCTGCCTCTCACAGAAAGGCAAAAACAGAAGAGCTGTGAGTTTCTGTTGGTGAAGCTGGTACCTCACACACAGCTTTATTCTTTATGGGTGCGTTAGTTACCAACTTGATGCTCTAAATTGCCACGTATGACCTTTTTATTTTTCTCCTATCTGGACCCTATTCTCATGCTAGAAAGCTTCCTACAGAAAGTCAGAGGAGTCCAAAACCCCATCAGTGCTGTTTATGCTTTACGATTTAAAATTTTCCAAACTGGCAGCCTGAGCAAAGTATTTAAAAGCACATTAAGCATTCAGAAAGATTGCTCTCAAAGGTGCTGGGCATCTGCAGCTCCATCTTCCGTCAACAGGAGGTTCAGATACTTAAATTTTTCAAAAATCAAGCCCTTCCCTAAACTAGAAAAGATTGGTCTCGATTACGTAGCCATCAGCAGGTGCTACCATTCAGGAGCTCCATTATTTTCCCACTTCAATAGCGGACGAATTGAGGGTGGAAGTCCACACGGACACAGATAATGTTGTGTAGCTGTGAGGAGCTCCTGCTCTGCCTCTGAAACGAGATCTGCTTTTACAGCTGCTGAAGCTCAGCAGACGGGGAAGCAGAGTTTGGGCTGAAGGGAATCGATGTCTTTTTTTTTTTACTATCGAGTCCAGATCACTTGAAAGAACACTTTCGAAAGAACGCTCGCTGTATTTGGTTACTTTGCTTAGTGCTTTAAGATGTCATATGCCATTAACTGTAAAAATGCAGTGTGCTAAAGCACTTCCTCTGCTAACAAAACCCGAGCAGCTAAACGATTGCTATGCATACACCCTGAATGACAGTCACAGACGAATAATATAAAACGTCAGTGCTGAATCCTAGAATTCTATAACGCCTGTGTCAAATGGCTGATTTCTATTGCAAAAACACAATCTTTGGTGGCTGCACTGTCCCACCAGGGTGTCCAAGTGATCTGGTACACCAATCACAGGGTAACAGGCTGCATTACAGGGCTCTGTTGCAAGGAGCCTGCTGGTCTTGCTGTCTGCCAATACCCGTAGGTGTCACCAGCACTTACTGGGAGGGGAGCCAGGAGATGAAAAACAAATCAAAGAAAATAATAAAAAAAGAACTTTCCTGTAGCAATTAGCGTGCAAGGTTTGCTTATCAATTCCCTCACCTAGCAAGTGCTTTTTAAGCAACTGCTGCTTAAAAAATATGCAGAAGGGATCTGAATATCTTTAAAAAGTGACTGTGGATTGAGCATTGCAAAGTACAGTATCGCTTGTCCCGTACTCTGTGACTGGAGGAATCACATCCTGCACACCCTCTGCCCCAACCTCTCTTCAAAATACAGTCAAGGGGTGTAGTTTTAAAAAGCAGCCTGAGACTTTTCAGGCAAAATTTCCAGGCAAAACTGTAAAGGTGCTAATAAATGCATATGAGCTTGGTGTCGCTTAGTTTTTAAAAAACTGACCTGTAATAAAAAAGCGAGTTATTTGTTAAAGTAATGTGAATTACTTTGTCAAATATTTGTCAAAGAAATGTAGCAGTATCTTGAAATTGAAGAATATAGGCATTATTTTCAGACATTGGCAGAAACCCATACCAGTGAAGCCCATCGAGGCACCTTCCTTTGATTGCCTACGGAGCCCATCTTCATCTCGGAAATCAATGTAAACCAGGTCTATTGCTTGGAGGCCAAATACCTTTGCTGTGACTATTATTTTCTGCCTGGCATATAAAATATCGTGAGTTTCCTTATTGCTTGTTGCACCTATGAAAAGAAAGAAAACAAAGAAAAGATGACAATGCCTTAAATCTTTCTCTCTTGAATCTTTTGTAAGAAAAAAAAAAAAAAAGAAAGAAAGAAAGAAAGAAAGAAAGAAAGAAAAGAAGATCTGAGATTTCGTTTAACTGATTTGGGAAACAAAAGTGGATCACAAGGCTGTACTGTAAAACCGATACTCCCGGGGAAAAAATAATCTGCTTTAGCAAAAGGAATAAATCTCTCTTTATAGAGTCGCTTATAGAATTCAGATTTTGACTCAGTTCGAATCCGAAGTTGTAAGCATGAAGTCAGTGGAAGTTTTGGCTGGTAAGGACAACAGAGTTGGGACTAACATGCAGTAATGGCCTTATTGTATTACTATATGTGCAGCAAGAAGCACTAAAGCAAGGGAAGCTTTCTGCAGTGTGACACGCCGGCTACAACTAAATGGTTAAAAAATTCACATTGAGAGCAGAATTGCACTTTCCTTGGTTGTGATTCTTGTCACAACGGATGTCCTAAGCTGAATATTTAAGCTTTAGTATTTGGATGAAAAATGATGGTAGATGACCGAGAGGAACCAAAAGTATTCACAAGACTTGACGTGTTCACGGTGCACCAGCTAAGCAGCATTCTCATGTGAAGGCTGATGCAAAAAATAGTAATACGTTCCTTTCCTGAGGGTCACTGTTTAGATGCAGATTTCCAATTTGTTAGGAATAATTTAATGAATCAAGGCTAATTTTTATATTAAAATTTATTTTTAATTTAAACGTCTGCAGCTGTGAACTAATATCTTTAAACCGAATCAGACTAATGAGGAGATAAGTGGCTTCTCATAAAAAAAAATCAGAACAACTTTTCATTTTCAAGGAAGATTAATAGTGTTTTTACAGGAAAATATGCTAGGGATTACTGTATTGACACAGGGCATATTTAAAGCAAATTTATTATAGCAAAATATGACACGAGAGTATTTGCAGATGATGTCAAAATCCCAAGTGATAACTGACTCTAGATCAGAGATAAAGCAGACAGCAGAATTTTAAGATTTTTAACATAGTTCTTAAAAGCATGTGCATGTTTCTTATGGGTATGGTATTTTTAAATAATTTCAGTGACTCAACAGTTTGCCTTGATTTTTTATTTTGTTATTTTTTGCTACTGCATGGCAGAAAGCAAGAGGAAGTGTCAGTGCCCTGTAATACGCAGGAACCACATTTTAATTTCTCAGTGATACATTCCACATTGAAAAAAAAATAAATAAAAATGGAGAAAAGGGAATATGTAAAATGCAGAATCAAGAGTTTTTATTACATTAATTATCGCTGTCAGTAGTGCAATGGAGATAAACTGGGTTTCTCCATTGCAAATGCCATTAACTATTATAGAAAAGAAACACTTAACAACCTATGCTGGCACGGAAATCCTCTCCTCCAAAGACGACTGCATCCAAATGAAAGCCAACCTGGGATCCTGTTCTCAATGCTTCTTCACAGACAGCCTACAAATGGGAGCATGTTGTTAATTTGTATAGAAATGCAGGAAGCAGAGAGACTAAGAGGATGTTACATCAACTCAGTATTACCAAAACCTGGTGATCCTTTGGTTAAAATTGCTCCTGCTAAGTAAAACCATTGTAGGTACTCAAGTGTGCACAATGCTTTAAAATGACTCAGCAGAATAGAAAACATTATCTTGCCCTGAGCACCTATATGCCTCCAGTGTGGAGATGCAGGACATCACAACAGCTTCATTGCCTCTTGGCCGGAGCTTACCATAATGCCCTTGCAATTGCTGCCCCGGATATTCAGACAGCAATAAGGAACAAAACAACCCTCAAAGGCTGCTTAAAAGCAAACAAAAATTATTATGTTTAATCAGTTTAACATGTAGCAGCACTGCCCAAGAAAAAGAAAGATTGGGATACTGGTTATAAAATTAACAATTTCAGTGGTTTAAAATGGTTGTGGATTCCTTTTCGGATAAATTGTCAATTTTGGATAAATTGTCAATTTAAATTGTCTGCTACCTCTAACTAAAAAGTAGCTAAGGAAGTTAAAAATGCAACAAGTATCACAGAAAAGTATTAAAGTGAAAGCAAGCAGAATTTTGTTACCGTACCTATATATAAAGAAGTGCATTTCCAGTCTGTTACTGTTTTATATTGCCCTCTGTAATATTAATTTGTTAAGGATTAGGTATGCGGAGAGGGAGAGAAGCAATTACAAACTCTGCTAGTGGGTGTTCTTACATGGCCGCTGGTGGGACACAAAATTATTATTAAGCCGAATGCTTTAAAAGGCAACTCTGCTGCCAACATCAAGGGCCTCAGCATCAACCCCCCCCCAAACTCCCCCCCCATAAAATACTGCAGTCGAATAAAAACCAGTTGCAAATGCAAGTTAGTTCTGTGCCCGTGCCCTGAAACGGGAGCACGCTGCCTGGTGATGTTGTGACGTGCAGGGAGGAACGTGGTTGCGCCAGGCGGAGGCTGCCGGCAGCTCCCGAGCTGCTCCTGCCCTGCGTGCCCTCAGCTGGCCCCAAGCCTTCCCCATCCACTTTGGGGGAGCCCCACGAGTGCCTCCTCCTCGTGCTGCCTCTCCTTGCTGAAAACCTGCGCTGGATGTGAGAGGTGGTGGGGAGGGACCTATATTACAAAGCACTTTAAATGTAAAGCTTGGCTGAAACCACCCTTCAGATATTTGATATTTTTAAAGTTAATTGCACTTTTAATCTTAGCATTAAACTCCCTGTTGTATTCATGAAAAAAAAAAAACAACAACTGCAACGTGAAATCTGGCTGAAACTGTGTCAGTAGAAAATTATACCGCTTTAGCAGCAATGAAATGAGGATTGTTCTTTTTTCTAATTAAATGCTATATCAAAGTCAAGCTCGACAGCTACTAAATAGTCGTTTATCGCAGCAGCGTGTGTGCTCCAGATCCTCAGAGAAGCAAGTTTCCTGTTAGAAACGCGGGTAGGAAATGCAGATGGGTTTCCTCAGTTGGCAAGGAGTATGTAGAGCTGTTCCTCCACCAAAATATTTTGGATTTATGAAGGCCTTTGCCGTATAAACACAACAGTTAGGCATCCAAATGTCTTAGCGGACTGAAAAACATGTTTACCATTTTTTAGCCTCTCTTCCTTGAGGAAATCATGCCTGGACAACAGAGCTCTCTGCTTATCCCGGAGGCTGAGAGGGCAAAATACCAACGCTTGGACCGCACCCAAACCTACTTACCTTAAAATTGAGCAACCCCACCGCGGTTTCCACAAATGGGATAAAATGCATTGGTTCTGCAAGTGTTCGGCCTTTCGAGTGATGTGCGAATTTGTCTGCAAACTAAAATCAGACAACGTGAGGCTTCGGCGAAAAAAGCACGCGCGGGCACGTGCAGCACTTTACATCTTTCACCTGGCTGCAACGCCGGCGCACAAAAAGCCCCAAAACTCAGAAGACGTAATTAAAAACCGCAGAGAGCGTTGGGGAAGGTCTGTGCCGAGGCGTGGGCTTTGCACCTCGTGTCCTAGGGCGTGCTGGTGGGGCACAGCCTGCCCCAGTCATGGGGCACACACAGTGCTGCCTTGCCTGCCTCGGGTCGGGCACCGCACCGCCGCTGAGGCATCTGCATGGCTCGTTACGGCACCGCTGCCCTTTGTTCGCCGGGCTTTTCTTCATAATTTTTAGCTTACCTAGGAAGGCCTCAAAAAGGAAGTTTAATTCTTTGAAGACCAAAGCTTTCCAATTTTTTCCATGAGACCAGTTCACAGCTAGCTCTGAGCTGCCAGTGGGGTAGCCCAAATTCCAAAATCTATCATCTGGAAACATACAAAAGCTCTAGCACAGATTTTTCCCTTTTCAAAAGGGGGAAAAAAAAGGGGGGAAAAGAAACCCTTGGTCCTATATTGTAAATCTATTATGTCGGTCTAGATCTGGCAGTTTGCGCGGAGATAAACATACTGCAGGTATGGCAAAAATATCGTAATAAATAAAGACAAAAATAACATATGCATATATTTTAAATTTAAGGAATATTCGACTATTAATGGATATCAAAGGAAAGGGAATTTTAATCATCTCTCCATTCAGTCTCAGTTGGGTAAATCATATCTAAGAGATTTGCATAAATATAAACCATCAAAGACTTTTCATCTTCAAAGGGGGTTTCAAGACCCTATAAGCTTTGTACTGTAATCATCGCAGGTCACAACCCTGCAGGAATAAGGCTGCTATGGCAACATAAAAAACTAATGCTTAAGGCTTAGCATAATATTCTGACTAATAGAAAGGAAACTCATTTTAAAAGCTGGCAGCCTATTTACCAGAAGCTGGATTAGAGGTGTTATTTCCCCTTTTAGCTTCCCCCCACTGCCCCTCCCCAAAAGAAGGAAAATCTAATCACCGAGATCTTTAAAAAGCTTTCGAGCAATTTGCAGTAACTTTACAATTAGGCCAAAATAAATCACAGCTTTCTCTGACAAAGAATTCTGCCCTTCCCGTCCCTGCTTTGCATCACCAGTGGGGCCCTCTCCACAACTTTTCCTTGGAGAAGGGACTTCCACCAAAAATGTGCCAGCAAGAAAACGCGAGTGCAATTCACACGTGCAAGCGTACGACTGGGCAGGTACTGTGGCAGCACAACATGCAAACTCTGTGCAGGCAAGCACAGAAAATGAGGTAATCAAACCGCATCAGCGTATGCTCTTAAGGCTCCCAGCCATAGGAAAAAAAAAAAAGGAAAAAGTGCTACTGCGTTTATATTTCAGCTGCAAGTTAAAGATGCGGAACTCTTAAAATATTTTAAAAGTCACTCTCTGGGATTTTTGACAGCTTGTGGTTTGTTGGCAGGTAAATGAAAAATGAAGAAGGTTTAATTAAACGGCGTCTCCCTTCCTCTCCCTTTAAAAAATTTGCAATAAGCACCGCTACAAAAGGTAACTAGTGGAGAAGTTTCAATTAATTTTTTTCAAAAGGAGACGATTAAATGTTTCCGGCCTGGTAAAGTGTTCATTTCAGGGAGAAGGGGGGAAAGGAGAAGGCGGAGGGAAGAAAACAAAGCTCGGGGAGGGGATGAAGTAGCAGGCCCCCGCAATTCTTTCAGTTCCCGTGCACACCCAATAGTGTGTTGGAAAGAATGCACACTGTTCGGGATTTGTGGGAGAATTGTCCCGCCACAAAGGAGGGAGAGTTACGCTTGTTATAGTCCAATAAGCCATGCCAGTCAAACAAGTACCCACACTAGGGACAAAAGGAGAGCAAGAGATTCTCACACAAAAGAAAACAAGTAAGCCCATCTTTTAGTTGTGCATCAGCCTCCAGGTTTTATGCTCCGCATAAATAAAAATGAGGGGGGAAAAATAAACAGCTTCTCTTAGGCTGGGAGCCTGGAAAAGAAGCGGGCAGGAGCGAAGCCGCAGGATCTCTGAAACGCGCCGGTGTCATTCAGCAGAGCATGCTCTTTGTGCTCCTGGGCTCGGCCGTGTGCGAGCCAGTGGCCACGGCAGCAGGCCCGAGGAGAGGTGGAAGGGATGGAGAGCGGGGGGACCTGGGCCTCACCCCTGCCCAGAGCCCGCCTCGTGGCTACGAAGACCCGCCATTTTGGCAGCACGAATGTTCACGTGTGATGAGCAATGCCCAGAGCTCACAGGGCTGCTCGAGGCACACACCCTCTGTTGCGGCAAACAAATGTTGTGGCCCATTGGCTGCTGTGGGGCTGGGTGCGGGATGGATGCGCTTGCTCAGGGTGCCCTTGCGTGTCGTCGGCAGCATGTGATGGAGGCTCAGTGTCAGGACGACAGTTGGCACGAGGGCATCTCCCAGCTTCCCAGTGCAGCCAGCCTGCTGGCTCCGCCACAACGCCAGCCCGACGCATGGAACGGCTGCTCCTGCACTGGCACCGTGCAGCAGTCACGGCTTACCCAAACAAATGTCCCCCTTCTTGACAATTAAAACAATTATAGCGTAATTAGGCCTATTTCAAAGTTTTCTTAAGTAATCTGACATGCCAGCCATTTACATTTCAGGTTTTTATTGGCTGAAAAGTCAGTCATGAAACACAAACACACCTGTCAGCAATTAAAAAGGAAGAAATAGAGAACTGCTCAGGAAATAATATCTGTGCTAATTAAAAACAGTAGTTAAAAGCTTCCTGTTTGTTCCTCCATTTGCCCCCAGGAGTGACCTTCCCCCCCCCGGCGTACTTTTCACATGTTGCTAGCATGCTTTCCCCTGCTCCCTCTTACAGGGCATGCAACTATGGCACATGGCCACAGACAAGCATTTCAATGGCAGAATATTTAAATGAGAGTCAGATACCAATGCAGCTACTTTTCAAAATATGCTCTAAATCTTCACTGACTATAGGAGAAATAAATCTAGTATTCTTTACAAAGGCTATGCACTCCACATATGCTTTTCATGTAGCACATCGTACACACATTTAAACAGAAGCACTTCCCAATTACCTTACTCAAGCAACAACAGGACATGGCACTCATGACACATCAGAGTCCCTTACCTCTACACCTGGCTTAACTTGACCCAGCAGTTTCAGTCAAAAACCACCACATTGTTGGTACACGGTTAGCTACTCACCCATTTAACTTCTTCCACACTTTCAACCTTTGGCAGCATCAGACTTGAAGGAAGAGTCTTGGACTGCAAAAGCACCTCTAGATCTTCCTCCGCAAGGCCACTGGACACGGAGTTTATCCTCACACACTTCTCAGCACGGCCAATGTCAAACTCTTCAAGCGTTTTCACAACTGTCAGCCTTGCTTCTCTCTACAATATATATATACACATACACATACATTCAAAGCCACAGAGAAAGAGAAAAAGAAAGCTTATTTTCCACTGACATTTTAATAAGCTGAACAGAAAACTCACAGAAATGACATGGGGAAAACGCTAGGCAGCCAGTGTATTTTTGTCCCCAACAATTCTGTCACTCCTGGTTCTTTGTCAAAGCAGTCATCAGCAGCACCTTGCAATTCTGCAATTTTCAGTTCTTTGTAACCAGCAAATAAAAGTTTATGCTTAAATATTTTTCAACAACCACTTATGGAAAACATCCATCTTTATTATAATTACTAAATACATCTAACAAATGTGAATCTGTCTACTAACTATAACATATTATGCTAAGTCTATGCTCACAACAGCGGAGCGTTAATACCTTTGCTTAAAACAATTCATTTTTGTAATCCATCTCCATATTGCCTGTGCTCAAATATCAGTATCAGTAAGTATAGATGTACATCTCTTTCTTTGGTTCTGCTATGTGAATCTTCCTTTTCTCCATGTATAAAAGGTGTATTAAGGCTCATAGCAGAGTTCAGAACTTGCCTTTGAAAACAATGCCACAACAATGATTTATCGATTTTCATGAACCATGTAAAAAGATACTCTCCTGCTGGCACTAAATAAAATGTCCAAATACATTTGCTTCTTGTAGCCACTCGCTCTTTTTTGTGAACGTAAATTTATAAACTTGCTGAATATTTGATATACATGAAGAATACTTGGGTGCTTTTCTGAAATGCAGTGCTTTTATTGGCCTCAAGAAGAGGAGTGGCAGTGGCAGAAGAGCACCGTTGGTCTCCCTCACTTTCTGCCCATTTCAGCTTCGGCAACAAATTCCTCCCACTTGCCAACAGGCCCTAACAAATCCTCATTGTCAAAATGAAGGTTTATCAAAAGTAATTTCATTTGTGAAGAGCTTTTGTGGTCCTCATAAAACTTTAAAGCTGCTGACTTGCAAATGTAAAGAAACAACTATAACACTATGCAGTTGCTGGAGAGATACTTTGCAAGAAAACAGGCAAACTTGGAGGAGAAAAAAATCATCAAAGCTAACATTCAGGCTCACACCAATCAGTGAGATGGGACACAGTAGTAGAGTTAAACCAGACGGCTACAACTCTGTGCCTTTGCAGGGGCCTTAATTGGAGACACAGGGCACACGAGTATGCATCTTTGTACAGGGTCACTCTCAGAGGTAGTCTCTGTAAAATCCAGCCCAAAAGCGGTCATGAGTGGGCTCAGGAAATCTGTGCAAAGATGCAGGGAGTTCCCTGCAGCCAAGGCCAGTTTGCCTGAATGTTGTGAAGCAGGCCGCGCGATGCTGCCCAGCACACACCCACCTCCCTGTCCTTCTCAAGGCGGGGTGGCTGGTGCCTATGTTGGGCCAAAGGTTTCTGGACGTGATGCAGAGCGGTATCTGAAATGCATTCTCCAAAACAATTTATGCTTTTAATTAAAGCCAGATTATCACCGTCTCAGCACACACTGATCCAATTTGCAAAATAAAGCTCTCCCAAAATTATTCGCTAAGGCAGCATCCAATTCCAACTGAAGGCACATCTCTCGAAAACTTGTAGTCTAATTCATTACAATTTTTTCAGATTATAATAATGAGCAGTAGAGCATCTCATTAGCTATTTTTCTCCTCAGGCTGCAAACTCCCTTCCCAAAAAAGGCAGATCGTGTCTTTCTAGGTATATTTCCATACAAAACACTTATTAACAGGCTGTTGCTGTTATCAATTTACATAAACTAAATGTGCAGCCCTCTGGTACATATCCCAAAAATAACTAACAACTTCACTGAATTTATACCAACCAACAAACATGGGGAGGGGGTTGTTGTTTTTTCCCATATTTTAATAGAAAATATGTTGCTATGTTAACACACCCATGCCATCTGTTGGGCTGAGAATCAATGCAGTTTCTTATAGCCACTACATTTTAGATCTGTCTGCCTAGATACCCCAGGAACAGAAACATCTCCCTTCCATGATAAACCTTTAGTCACTGTAATTTCTGAATCAGGAATGGGCATTTTTATTCGTGGGACAGGCAGATGGACCTGGTACTCCAAGTCAGAGACCTCTTGAGGGGACTGACCCTGCGCCTGCCCTTCCTACAATAGGGAAAATCCCATTGATGTTAGTGACCCTGCTTGGGCTTCCAGGAAAAAACATCATGGTTGAATTATAAAATCTACCAAAATCTCTGGGCAACATGAACTAAAAGCATGGAGGAAAAGGAGATCACCTTCTGCCTCATCATGCAGTGAAATGTAAATACAATTCTAATATGCAGACAAAAGCTGAGATTTTAAGCTAGTTGATCTACTTCAATGATGTAATAGTAGAGAAAAAAAAAGTACTTAATACAATGTTTTTGTAGCAATGGATGCAAGAATAAATGCATTTTCCAAAGTAAAGTCCTCGTCAAGACTGGTCAAGCTAGAGTATATCAACAACAGCGGAAGAAATTATTTACCTATTCTTCACCTTACAGCATTGGACAACTCTCTGTCCTGAACGGGTAAAGAAAAAACTTGGCCGTGAAACAAAGGGGTCCACTCTGGGACTGTGGTACTCCATTAGGACCCATAGGTTGAGTTCTTATCAAAGTGATCAAGGAAGGATGACAACCGAGAGAGTCTGTAGTAAACAGTGATATTAAATTACACTAATATTATTATATATTATATGCTGATATATCCTAAACTGGCTACTTGTGCTGGAAAACTTTTCGAGAAAAAATGTTGGTCAAGGTGACTGTAGCTCCTTTTGTGTCTCTTCTGTCTGACTCAGAGGGGGACGAGGGGAGATTTCCATTCCTGCATGCAGCTACGCCAACTGGGGAGGATAAAGCCTTTGGTGATGCTGCATCGCAGATGAATCAACTGCCAACAGGACACGCAGACACCGAAATTAAAGACGGGAATACGCAAGTAGCCGTCTCAATTGGCACCCATTAAAGCTAATCACTACCCATCCTCACGAGTTGCTATCTCTGAATTATCAAATCTGCAAAGAAAACAACATCCGTCCACTTTTACACTCCAGTGGAAGAGGTGGTCCCTCGCGGCAGGGCTGCGCAGTCTCGCCATCTGGAGAATAAATCGAGTGTGAAGTACAGTATAGTTTGGGACCAAGCTCCGTGGCGGCAGCCCAGCAGCGAGTTCATTAGTTCTAAACTTGCAGGGATTAGTGTGGTGTCGGGGCAACTGTCGGGTGGGATCAGGCAGGCAGAGTACGAGACTCAGGGAGGGAGGTGGTGGCAGGGAAGGAGCCCCTGGGCTTGCTAATGGAAACAAGTACAAGCACACCTAAGTGGGTGCCCTAAGTTACAGCATTAGCATCATCTCCTGGCATCTCAATCTGTACCTTTCCTTCTTCTTCTTCTTTTTTTTTTTTTTTTTTTTTTTTTTTTCTGTTTCTTTAAGTTGTATGCCAATGCATAGAGATTTCCATTATGAGACAGAAGGGATGGTACAGGAGTGGAAGCCCAGCCACCCACTCACCACGGACACACTGTTAATAAAGAAATAACGAAACGCAGGCACTGGAATTAACAGAATACTGGGGACAGAAACAGCAGAGAAAAATTACATTTTCTTCTTTCTTTTCAAACTGATGCAACACCCCTCAGACCAGTTTTCCAGCACTGTGATTCCCAGAACTGTATGATCTAGGGAGAAGTGGGAAGGAGCATATACACACATAAGCGCATCTTATTACTCTTGAGTTGTACCTATTTTGCTCCATGTTTCTTGTACATTCTTACCCTTTGGTTTCTCAAGACCTTGAGGTCTCAACACAAAGATAGTGGGTATACCTAAAAGCCTGTGTATGTAGAGCTCTTGTCCTGTTAACTTCCTTCTGTAATTATTCTTCATATAGAAACATAAATACACAACGCACGAAAATGGCAGTCCAGAATATATCCTCCTTGCAGCCATAATGAGTTTGTGTGTCTCAAATGGCAGACGAAAAATTAATTACTATAATCGCAATTCAAGTTATTTTTTGTGACAGGTCTGACACGATAAAAACATACAATTATGTGTTAATGTTACTTCCCTGGAGTGGTTTGTTTACAGAGCTTGACATCACGGAATCTTTTGTCACTTATATTAGTGCAAAAAATGCAACACTCAAACACGGTTCTGCAGAAGTGCATATTTGGATTTTTGGACAAAATTATATTTTTGTAAAGAGAAAGCCTGACATTTTTTACATACTTAGTCTCCATCAATAAAGTGTTGCCATACAGAATGGTACTTCATTTAGTTTCAAACTCTCAAATGAGTTTGACAAGAGAAGGGAAAAATTGTGTTCATTTTTAAGAAAACAAAGAAAACTGTAACTGCAAAACAGAACATTGCTGAGCATGGGAGGTCCTTGCTTCATACCTGTTTTCTACTTCATATGCTTCAGTTGCTTGTGAGAAGAAATCCTTGAGATGGCAATTATTTTTTTCTAGCTAGCCTTGTTAGACTGTAAAACTGCTGCAAAAAAAATGTTTATTGCAAAGCTTTCAGGAAGCCTTTATTTAATCAGGTCTTATAATTACCTTCTAGATCAGATTGTAATTCGAGAAATTTTTAATATTAAGTTTTTTAAAACACATTTTCTTTTGTTTTCACAAAGAACGTGTCAAAGCCAACATGTAATCTTAAAGGAAAGAAGGGGCAGGAGTGGGGAGGGAGAATAAGGCCTCCATGTGTATGGCTGTACCTCTTCTCTGCACTTTAGGCAAAGGTGCATTTAAGCACTCTGCAAGAGTCTGATTTTTCCGCTACTCTCTTGTAAAATCTTTGAAATCTTTCTTTAAGAATTATTTGGTCTACCCAAGTCCTTTATTTTTTATACAATCCTTTTCACTCTTCCGAACAAGAGATTCATCGTAACATAATGACTCATCTAACTCGGTGCATCTCTAGCATCTGCTGCTTTTCTCTCTGCTCTGCTAATTGTCTTTACATGT